AAAAAAAAAAAAACTTAAATGAAGAGGGGAAAAAAGCACAGATGAGATGAGCACAGGTGTCAAAGGGAACCTTTACAATCCGCGCGCTTGCGGCATCCGCTTCCAGGTGGAAAAACTGCGACATCATTGCGGAATGTGATGAAACGTCGGATATACTTATCCCCATTTCCCTTTTTGGACCTAATAAATGATGGAAAACCTGTACTAAGCCTACAGTGCACAAAAATGCCCCAAAATCAGACAACTTTTCCCCAACAGCAGACGTCAATGCTCCAAAAGCAGACGACAATGCCCTTCCAGCAGACGACATTTTTTCGGAAGAAGACGATACATCTATTGCATACCAGAGAAATTATATATCGATTGATGCCGGGGGAAATGGAGTGCAATGGCAATTTGGAATACGTTTGCTTCAAAGCTAGTGTAATTATTGAGGGGTAAAGCTCTTCTACACTCGATTGCTGATCTGAATTTACGACGTCGTGTTCGGCAACGCACACGTTTTAACGACCTCTTTTTCATATACATATGCATTCCGCGGGCACATTTGCAAGTGAGATAGCTATAAAAAGAGTCATAACTCCTGACTTATCGAGAGAGAGAGAGAGAGAGAGAGAGAGAGAGAACTAACTGGAAACAAACCTAAGGAACCCCATTAATAAATCCTTAAAAGAGACAGGCCTATACCTTTGAGTAGGCCTTCTATTTACAATTCATAATAGCAAAGGCCAACAGCTGAAATACGCATCTTAATATGAACGCTTAGTATTACGCATTTACCTTTGTTGTTGCCCCTTGGTGTCGTCTGCGCAAATGTCACTTCACTCTCTCGACCCTCCCTCCGTCTAATGACTAATAAGTGTCGCCAATTCCATCGTCTGCACAATCTTTTTTCCAGCCAAAACACAGTCCAAGCTCAAATATCTCACATAGTCTTCCAAATATCTGTACCCAAATAGTCCCAAATCCGAGCTCCGGTCGCGATTTTTGGAGTCCATTGCAGACGTGCAGCGTCCCGCGTCTTGTTCCCGTCTTCCTCAATCTCGTTTCCGCGTCCTCGTCGCATGAAAGGATGGGATGAGATGAGATTTGACCTAGGGGCTTAAATTTCACTGCGTTCACCGAGGCCGCGCATTCATTGAGTGGAGCGCTATGTGTAAAGCGAGAAGACACACAGAGGAAAACGGAGACAATGCGGAAAATGAGATCACTGGTTAAAATGGCCTGGCAGTGAAGGATCGCCGCCGTGAATATTGCAGGCTCATTTGTATGGAGGTCAAAGCCACCGGCGGGGTGATCCTCCATATGCATTGTGTTTGTTAGGTTTTTATTGTGTCATAACAGAGAGAGAGAGAGAGAGAGAGAGAGAGAGAGAGAGAGAGAAAGGGGGGGGGAGGAGGTGGAGGGGAGGGAGGTAGGCCTACACGTATGGAGTGTGAGAGACTGAGGGTGGGAGGGAAGAATGAAGAGGAGGTGTGTTGAGAGAAAAAGGAGAAATGAAGAGAGAGAGAGAGAGAGAGAGAGAGAGAGAGAGAGAGAGAGAGTTCCATCACTAGTGTATATCAATATCATTTATATCCAATAAAACACTAATATACATATGTCCTCTTATCCGTGATTGTGTTCCTACATCACAGATCCGCTAACACAACGGAATCACCTCCCACTAGCTCGACAAAGGAGTGCAAATGCAATGAAAGGGGTCGTACTGGAAACAAGACAAACAATAAAAATAATTTAATTAATTTAACTAAGCAAAAAATTGGTGGGTCTCTAATTATTTCTTCATTTTGATTTGCTTACTTTATATTTCAACTGAGGTGAAATCACAATCAGGAATCAAGTACATGTAAGGGCTATATTTTACAGTGTTGTCAGTGCCAGGCGACATGTTCATTGAAAATGTTCAATAAAATGATAAAAAAGAAAGAAAAGTAAAAAACAAGACATGGAAAGATGTACTGAATAAATAGCAGATATCTACCCAAAATGGCCTGGTCAAAATACAAATCCAAGGATTTTTTGTCAATTTTTTAAGTGTAGAGTTGATATAACGCAAGGTTATACTTGAAGATGACAGCTGCCAGAACAATTTAGTCTAATTAGTTTCCCTAATTACCCGTATGAAGACAAACCACTTGATGTCAGAAATAATTTGCAAGAGCGAGTCATGATTTTTTGCATTGTTGCTGTCATTTTGTAAGATGTAAAATTGATGTTTTTTTTTTTTCATAATATCAACTTAGAATTATAGTCTCTCTCTCTCTCTCCCTCTCTCTCTCTCTCTCTCCCTCTCTCTCTATCTCAGGGTGAGACTGCAAAAACATTCTATCAATTCATATCGCGTCTGTATCCCATCAATTAGGACATAACACAAGTTGCCCTGGGTGATGTAATTCAGGTGCATGTGTCAGCTTACCATCTCATCATCATTAACTCTGTATTGTCTCTATGCGCTTTAATACGTTCGTTATTATGTTGCCTGGCATGTTGAATGCTTCTCTCTTCTCATGATCTCTCTCTCTCTCTCTCTCTCTCTCTCTCTCTCATTCTTTCTCTTTCTCCCTGGCTTATCCTTTTATTTAATTAAATGTATTTTTTTGAAAAATATTTTGAAAAGTAACTTGTTGAAAAGATTACTTGTTCGCATCTACCCACCAGGTAGAATTTTCCTGAAGTAAAGCAATTTTTTAACACGCAAACTCAGCGCTAGGAAACATTCTTACATAGCATCCATCAAATTAGACTGCGTCTGTCCCACTTCAGTTATTGTGTAACCGTTTCATCATCATTAGCACTGCTTTGCCTCTTTGCGCTATAATGTATTTGTATTATGTCATAAAAGTTATATGTGTTCTCTCTCTCTCTCTCTCATTATTTCGTTCTGCGTGAAGGTAGGCAGACAGGCACGTAAAAGGCAGAAATGGGGAAAAATCATTACAGCAAGAGTTTTCTCTCAAACGATTTGACTATCTTGTATGTGACGACTTTTGAACAACCGATAGTAATACTCTGTCAGGCACGTGCGGATATTAACATGCGCGCGCAAACATGACACAGCATAAGACATGTGAAGACGCGCACGCACACGCGCACGCACACACACACACGTGCAGAAACGTACACGCTTATACATGTACACATGTACATACGCACCAAATGTGTTCATTTCTAAACACGCAAGCAAACGCGATCTTGAATAGGCCTACACACACACACACACACACACACACACACGGCTACAGACCACAACACCAGTCAACAACAATGTAATTAAATCATGTTATCGTGACGCGAAGAGAAATAGAAGCGTATAATTAGTGACTGCTAGATGTGGCCATTCAAGCTGAAATATTTGAGAAACAAGAATATTACTTGTCGATTACGGTAAAGCTAAGCATTCGTGCATCATCTGTGCTTAAAATAAAACGCTTGATTAGCCACCAAGTCGTTACTGCAAATGTCGGTCTAAAGTAATATAATATAGTAATACACAGTGGTGTTTTACTGTTATCTGTGCATTTAGATGTGAAAAAAAATTATGTTTGCCTTGCGGTCTCTCTTAATTGCATTGTTCTCTCTCTCTCTCTCTCTCTCTCTCTCTCTTTGTAATTTGTTCCTTGCTACATATCAAACTCATAGCCTAAATTCTCCTTTAACTTTGTTGAGACTAACGAGATGATTACATCGTCTGCAATTTACCCAGCTTTATGTTATAAATACGCTGATCCCAGGGTGGGTGCCAGGACCCGCGAAAGCACGAGCGAGCACACGAGCACGTGCATGTTCTCCCCTTAGGGGCGGGGGTTCACCCCTTATAACCCGTAGTTATTGTTTTGATAACAATATTCAAATAACAATCCACCAAGACAAAATGTAAATGATAATACGACAAAATAATATTTTATAAATCGTTAGAAAACTCGGATAGATGTGAAATTGTAATATTTCATTTCCTTCCTGAATGATTCTCTTTCCTTAGCAAATCATCAAAACATCACCTCTTTATGGCATAGGTTAAAATGAACTAAAATCAATGTGCTGCGATTATCTCGTAACCGCGGCTGTCACATAATATGACATAATACAACACTGACATGATACAGTGATCGATTTCCACAAAAGCACATTTAAAGAGGAAATATTATTGAAAGGCATAGAGCAGCTTGGCGTTCAAAACTCGAATATAATCTTTGACCATCTCTTTTTTAGCTACAGTTTCAACTGCACGATGTCTGTGAATATTTTGGGGGATTTTTTTTTTTTTTTTTTTGGGGGGGGGGGTGCTTTCCCACTTTATGCACTAAAACTGAAGTGCGGAGTATATTTAGAAACCAAAAACAGCTATGCATTTTATTACGTGTTGTTTGACGGGCTGGGTTGTGGTAACAACATCTTAGCGAGATAATGGATGTTTAAACCCAGCAATTAGTCTGCACGAGGTCTAGGGCCCCATTCAATGCGCTTGAAACAAAAGGCGTTTTAGCTTTGAATACTGAAGAATGCATTTGATTGCACCCCCCCCCACACACACACACACACGCTCGCGCACACGTGCGCGCGGGCTCTCCTCATCCGAAATCGCATCCTTACACCAGATCGAATGAAGATCGGAATAATGGTAGAATCACATTACTGTGGCTGAATCCAAGAGTCACCTCATCAAAGATAAAGCTAAGGTCGAAGATGAACTGAGCGTTTTAGACGTCATTTATTCACATTGCCTTTATATTAGATTTATCGGCGAAAATTATACTTTTAATTTCCAGTCCCTCTATTGCATATGCTTTATCAGGTAAACTGCCCTACACAGTCCTATTGTATTTACACCATATATGTAAAACTTCAGCCTGTTATTGTAATTTTGAATGAGTTATCGTCATTTTTATTATTATCATAAAGCGGACTTTACTGACACCGTGCTGAATGCGGCCCAGCAGCTTGTTAAGCCAACTGCGTGATTATCGTCTGCTTCTGCTGGTATCACGTGACTACAGAGACAGATCTGAACGCACTTTTGGACAGATCGTTCACAACATTCTCTTCCAACAATGCATCTCAGCGCCTAGAATTAACTGCGTTTATGATTCACTAATACCACCGAGACACCTGAAAGTTCTGGCAAGCTGGAAAATACGTTGAGTCACAGCTCACGTTGTTTTCGCCATGACGCGTCACAGTAGCTGTCTCACCTAAGTGTGCCACTGTGTGCTTTAATACGTGTGTGCTCAGCAGAGCGTTATTGACAGTAAACCTACGCCAGATAGCATATCAGCTGGCATATGTGCTGCTGTAGGAGAAATAATTAAATGTGTATATGTGCTATAATATACACATACCAATATGCAGCAGTGCAGTCGTTGGTTGGGGGGCATGTATGAGAGTCTTACGCGGACCAAGAGACAGTATCTATTGCCACAGGAGGGAGGGGGGCAGACGGAGGACGAGACGGAGACAGCCACCCCTCCACGATGGGGTGTAGGGAGTTCTTTGCTCCTTGGGACATTTCTGGTTTCTGGACATCTCGTCGTTAATATCGCAGGTCCGTCAGCTATTGTGTCAATGGTCGTAGCGGCTCTGGCGGCTACTCTGTCTGGTAAGTGCCGTTTGTGTAACTTTTCAGTCATTCTCTTATTGCGCATTTCTTTCTTTTTTCTATATTTATTTTATAATAGGTTCCTTACCGTCCTTCATTCCTTTCTACACCCCTTTCTACATCCCTTCCTACCTTCCTGCCTGCGTTTCTTCATTCCTTGTCTCCACACCGTATTCCTTTCTTCACTCATTCCTTCCTTGCCTCCATACTTTATTCATTCCTCTCTCTCTCCCTCCCTCCCTTCCTTCCTTCCTCCCCTTCCTTCCTTCCTTCCTCTTCGGAAGACTTTATTTTATATGTTTTTAACGCGCGTTCTATGCACGGTGTCACTGTTCCATGACTCGCAACATTCATCGCAGTATCTCTTCCAGTTGCATAATAAGTGCCGCTGTCATGCATATAAAGCACCTGCATGTACAATAACTCTACCTGCTCCGCACATTTCATGCATTTAGTGCATCTGCAAGTCCATTTATTTGAACAAAACAACTGGTCAATAATCCGGTAAAATTGATCAAATAGGGTTTACAGTTCTTAAATGTAGCCATTTCATCTCACGAGAGCGTTAGATCAGTTAAGGCTATCTTTTGTCGCTTTTAACGCCACGCTTTTTCCGTGTCCATTACTGTAACTTTGAAAGTGTCATGTATTTTATTATATCATAGGGCTCATTTCCAATGAAGCTATCGGTCTACGTAGATCGATCCAACGAAGGCTTTCATTGAATGCAATCAGATATTAACACACTTTCTGGTATTGAGGAGAATACAGAAAATCGGGCGATTACGAGAATGTTTGAAACAAGAGAAGGCGTAGTAACCTGTTAATCTGATTGCATTCAGCGAAAGTCCCCACAACGTAGACCCATAGTTTCATTGGGAATGAACCCATAGTAGCCCGAATGAGGGCATGTCTTTGAGCAAGCACTATGGAATACATGTGTATTATTACCACACTAAAAGTTTCCTTGAATCTGTGAGCAATCCTACGTAGAAATATTTTTGAAAATGAATTCCATACTTTTTTTTATCCCTTAGCGTTTGTGCAGTATTATTCATTGTCTTTAAACCTCACAATGCTACAGTAGCTGTTTGTTTCACTGCACTTATATTAGGTAAATAAATAAATAAATAAATAAATAAATAAATAAATAAATGACACATTTATTTATACAGTCAGAATGGTTTTACGTCGGCTTCATCCTTTTCATCAAAGTCATTAAAATCCAAATTGACAAGGACGGAAGAGCTAGATGTTTTATTATTATTATTTTTATTATTATTATTATTATTATTATTATTATTATTATTATTATCCCATGGCTCTTCAAGACCTTTCCCGTCGCCGTGTATTGCATATAAAATCTGTTTGTTGTGTAATCTACAGTATATAACGTCTGACGTATGGTTTAATATCATTTTGATGTAAAGATTGTATCTTGCTTTCCCTTGTCAGATAACATTAGTGCTGATATTAAGTCAAGGGCTTTTAAGTATTCTTTTGCCCCTTTATTTCAGCAACAGTGTAACAAAATGTGGTCCATCAATATATGTATTTTTCTATGGAAATGAATATATGTTCGAATATGTATATATTCTCAAGTCTTGTATTAAGTTTACAAGCCGTATACCGCCATGAGACGTTCGAAGCAAATTGACTATAGGCGCCATAGCCAGCTACACGACGACAGCGTTTGTCTAAACCTGTTACGAAAACAAAAGCAGTATGGAAATCAAATGCTTTTCTTCGGTTTCACTTTTTTGTTATTAATCCTTTTTCCAAAGCGCTGATGGCCGTTTTGGGCCCGGCCCATTCCCAGGGCTTTTAGCGCCATGTTCGCTCCCAGATTCCAACCTTGTGGTGGCTTAGAAAATGTTTTTTTCCTTCGAATAATTGCGTTGATTTTGTCACTTGGGATTTAATCTAGAACGCTAATGTGTTCTCCGAGCTCAGAGTTTCAATTGGCAGCGCCCGCATGTATGGAAAGTCAGACTACAATGAGTCAGAAATTCAACTGAACGCGAAACAGGTGGTGATTAATAATTCAAGGTTCAGGCTTTGCACGGTCGTGTATATTGCAATGTTCCTACACCTTCAGAGCCCAACCGGTCGGGTTTACACGTTTGAACATCGGGCAAAAAACACCGAAACAAGACTGCCAAAACTACCGTTTCTGAAATAAAATCAATGCCATCATATAAAAGTTTTAGTGATATAATCTGTAGTAATTGTTATACTGATAACAGGTCCTCATTTTGTCGGGAAAAAAACTGCCATAAAACGGATTTCCCCTGGGTAAACGACGATTTCCCATTCTTTCCAATGGTTGATGAATCCGTTCCGACATTCAAAGTCAGTCATGTTTTTTTAAGTGTTTTTTTTTTTTTTTTTTTTTTTTTTTTAATAATTTTTTAAGGGATTACATTTTTTTTGGGGGG